AGGGCAGTTGCCAGATCAGGCATTCAATCGGGAGAAATGTCGTCGTAAAACCAGAAGAGCGGACCATGGCAGAGTGGGACAAACGCTGAAGAATAAGAAGGCTGCTAAGAAAGTAAGCTTCTCGCATGAGGCCTTAAACCCCAACTGGGACAAAAAATCTAAAAATCTCGAAAATGTCTAACTGCAACAGTAACGCCACTTCTGTTCCCAAGCTCTATTATTGAGAGGACCACCACTTATAGGATTTTAGGGCCAAAAATAACTACCACAAATCTCGTTGAACTTACTCAGCAGCTTCAATCTCTATTGACGTCATATTTGATAAATGACGACGGTGTACACTATAAATACTCTCAAATGAAGCAGAACATAGGATTCGCTCTCTTTACCAGGACTCAGCTCGCACAAATAAAATGTGCTATAGAACACAGGACAAAAACTATAAAACACCATTTTAAAACATTTTATTCACCCACCAATCTCAAAATCCAATAAATAATAAATAAATGACTGTGCTTAACAAGTATAGATCGTTCATTTCATAGACATCATTATCAGCAAATACTCTAAAAGAAACAAAAAACTGTGGGGTCCATTTGTCTTTGCCTATAACATGACCACAATCACAGAGTTGAAATTTTCATACATCATTTGAGGATGTACGAATACATCTATCACTTTTAAGAGGCAAAATGATCGTCCGTTCAGGGATATCAAGGGTATCGTAATATACGTTACTGCTGCGGAACTGGATAGTACTGCGGCGGTGTGGGTACTTGACCTAAACATTTGGAACTCATAAGGTATATCGACAAACTAAATAGAGCAGACTAGAGGATTACAGAAATAAATTAAAAATCGTGAATAAGGAGAAATGAACAATACCGTGGTTGATCTTCTGCTGGTAAGAATCAGCTGAGGAAGTCGGTGGGGGAGCCAGCTGTGTGATACCGAGAGAGCTTAAAGGGGGCATCGGGAAATTAATTGGAGGCGGTGGAAAAGCTCCTCCAGTTGCCGTTGTAGATGTACCCGTTGCAAACATCGATGGTACAACCGAGGGGATACCAGACGGAATCGATGCTAGAACAAGCAATTTATTTGTGATGAGCACTATCATACAAGAAAAGACCAGCTATAGTTGACAGAGTGGGAGGTGGGAGGAGAATTCCCCCGAGATGCGGAAAAGTCCGCTCCTGTGAAACAAGGATCGGACTCTCGTCGTCTGCGCCCTTCCATGGCAGAGCCAGGTAGAGCTTTGTGGGAGGAGCATTGCTGCGCCTTGCCCCTCTCAACTACGGCCAGTTCAAGAAAAATATTTCACATTACGTTAGCTAATGACATATGACTAAAAACAACATACGTGTGAGATTCGGTGGCTGCGGTGGCGGGAAATAGCTAGGGGTAGATGACGGCTGCAAATTCGGAGGAAGAGGTTGCGGCGGCTGTGGCATAGCCGTAGAAGTGGAAGAAGCATAGCTGCAAAATCTCGACATAATTCACGATTCACAAAGGAATGAGAAATAATTGATGAAACAACTCTAACTAAATTTCAAGGAAATATTTGAAAAAAGTATTATGATGTCCCAACAATGATCGGCCTTTGAACTGCCAACAACTGCATCCTCCTTTGCCCTTTGTTTTATGTTCCGTCGTACCGTTTCCCACCTCACTCTCATGTCCCGTCATTAACTTCTCTCCCGAAGCTCATTTCTTTACTTTCTCCCTCAGCTCTCCGCGCAATACCTCGCCTAGTGATCTGCTCTTCAACATAGGATCGATACGATAATTGCCACTGAAGTTATATTACCTAGATCAGCATGAAAATCCTAATTGGTAAGACGAATATCTTTTTTCCAGTCATATAAAGATTTGTGAGTTGCCTTCTATCACAAAGAAATAAAGCGTTTACCCGTCCACAGTCTTGTTCACTGGGATGATGGGGCGTGTCAGCGAGGCTAGGTTTGGCGCGCCGCCAGCCTGTTCTCCATCAGCTGCTGAAGAGGGTGAGCGAAAGCAATTGGTGGGAACGACTGATACCAACGATATGATACCGGCTTGTCGCCTGCCGAAAGAAAAAGAAAACGGACAGGCGCCGCGTCAGACTCGTCCCCTTGACACGCCCCATCATCTCTACAGGGAACCAAACTGTAAACGCCCAGGTTTCAAGACTGGACACGGGACGATTGGCAACCTTGACAAATTAGCGCACCATAGGTTCTTCCTCTACTATTAACACCAGGCTATCTAGAGCACTGAGGGAACAGGGAAGAACCTTTGTTTAGAGACCGTTGCTAATGCACTGAATAGTGGCTTCCACAGGATGCTCCCTGCTCTGACACCCAGGCATGCTAAATTGCGCACAAGCAATCATAAACGCAAGTCTTCTTTGCTGCGGACGTTTCAGGGAGGGGGGAGGTGGGGGAGGAGGGGAGCTCGTCTTGGTGCGACGCCAGCCTGTTCTCCACGAATTGCAGTCGTCTGTCAGCCTCCCGTTACTGGAGAAGAGACAGGCGCCAAGCAAAATCCAGCCCTTGAAACGTCCCAGTATGCGCAGCGAACAAGACTATACTTAAGACATAGAATGAGGAATTGTCGAGCAAAATGGAACGCTCTATCGAACAAACCTTGTCATTGGCATCGAGTATGATCCCGCACTGAATGGCACCGACGATGGAACTCCAACTGGTGGAGGAGCTGGGCTATATTGCGGAGCCGTGCTTGCAGGTGGTTGATATGCCTGAAGCGGACGATCTTGAGTAACTTTCAAAGTATCTAAGTAAATACAGGACCAAACGAGAAAATTCGGGCCTCCAGGATTCACATGCTGAGAAAAAAAAACTAAAGGATCAGCACAGAAATTGAACAATATAAGATTAGCGTGCACTAACTGCTTGACTTAGAAAAATGGCTCCCTCAAAAAAGTTCCCACCCCAAAACGTGCTATTCAAAGTTTCAGAGATGACAACTGGAAAAAAATACTATGAAAAGATACATTTTTAATAAAAGTTCCACCTAACAACCTCGTAAGGCACAAGAATAGCAAAACACTATGGAAAGAATCCGCCACTTTGCCTCTTCAAGTACATGAATAAGGAGCATTAATGGAATAAATAAATAAATACGTGAACATCCTGGGTTGAGGTGTCGTGATTTTTTTCCCGAAAACTAGGTCCTTTCAGCTTTTTTTTGTTCTATTTTGTAATAAAGACAAGATTTCAAAAGGAACGATGTTCCAGCAAGTGGAAAAACTCGCAACTACATCATTCAATTAACGATTTTCTTTCGACCGCTAAATGTTAATGAAAGGAACTTCGAAGAAAACGAGCCTGGTACTGCTGTTGTTGTTGCTGTTGCTGCTGCTGTGCGTAGTAATCTGTTGGACCGGAATGAGTTACGGGAGGAGGTTGGTACTGCAATTGTAAAGAAAAAATACACAAATGCACTAATCCTAGCATCGTCTACTAGTAGGGCTAGCTGTTGTATGTTAACCATTTTTCTTGATTGCAACAGTAACCTGTACTTTAACTCATTTGAGGACAAACCTCACTGAACACTATGGAGTCACTAAGTGACCCACCAGGCGTGAAAGAAAAAGCTAGAAAAAAAATCATGGAACTGTTTAAGAAAGGAGCCCTTGCAGCAGCACTCTACACTTGCCTGCATCTGCTTGTTTCATGACAGCAAAGCGGTATCCTGCCGCTTCTAGCTCAGTAATCGTATGTTTGCGTCATCGAGTGCTAATACCATCTAACAAAGAAAAAAATGGGGTGTAGAAACCGAACTCGGGACAGAAAATGGCCTCTGAGTTTTGGCAGGCGCACAACTGTGGATGCGTCACAAATGTCCTCCATAAGGACCGCTGGGTTTTTTCACTACCGTGAAGCCACGGAAACGGCTGCGGATGAGTACTTCTACAAGACAGATGCCTGCAAATTAGTTGAGCGCGAGGACTGTTTTCAAGTAATTTCCAGTGTGAAACCATTCTTTCACTCTGGTATGACACCCCAAATGTAGTTAATTATGCAATAAGTATAATATTCTCTGACTAAAATAACTCACCATCTGCGGAGGTTGTGGAGGCTGTGCTGGTGCTGGAGAGGGGCTGTGTGAGTGATTGTGCCCATGGTCATTATGAGCATGACTATGTCCATGGCCGTGATCATCATGAGCGTGCCCATCTCCATGACCATGTGGGGCCTGAGCAGAGGGAGCCGACGTGGATTGTGCACCATAAATGCTAGGAACAGGCGGAGGAAATGATGGGGGAAGCGTGAAGTTGTTCGGTGCTGGCATACTTGTGGGAACAGCGAATTGGCTCGGATCAGGAAAGGATGACGGTGCAGGAGGCTTGCTAACCTGAACCATGCAAAAAATAATTGGGTAAACTATTTTCGGTGGTGGTAGTTGATTATGGTTGATTGTGAAATACAAACCTGATCCATCTGTGGAATACCAGTACTTCCAGGTTGTGCCAACTTCGGCTGGGTGGAAACAACCTGAATATCGGGTGTCTAAGTAATAGTTAAGGAAAAAGCGAGAAAGTATCAACGGCTGACATAATCAGAAAAAAATAAGGAGTCCCAGAACGATTTTGATAATGGGGAATTCTCACTGAAAAAGTGGTTAAAACGAATCACTTTTGTAAAGACAGCTCTTACCGGCGGAACAGGACTTTTGGGTTTCGAGCGGTCAACTGATATTGGAATTCGATGGAGATATCCATATCCTATGTCACATCCCAAGCATCCTTCTCCACCCCAGGCCGAGTTGGGGGTAAGGCTAACCTGGAGCAGTTCATCATTAGTAACAATAGATGGAACACTGAAAAACATGAGAACACCACGGCACCACAAAAAACCAAATTTGTGGCACTTTTCACCTTATACTGCCCCACTCTTCAGATTCCAGGCCTGATTGGAACATCCCCTCGAAGATACAAAAGGCTCAAAATTTGTCCCTGGAATGTTCGATCTACTCTTCTCAAATCTTCCGTAGCGCCCGCGTCACAAGAGGAAGCGCCAAAACAGCTAGAAACACCAAATGTGCTGAAAACTTGTCGCAAAGGGTAGTCTGACGCGCTGCGCATGAATATCACAGTTGCATGGCGCAGAAATGAATGATGCGTGACGCGGGCGCCTGGCGTTTTTGCTTCAAGTGGAAGTATATTAGTAGCAAGGGGTCAGAATCACGACATGTCCTGCCGCTGGAGAAAATTTTTGCAAAATACAACCACTCAAATATTCCTCTTCAGATGCGACGCCCATCGTCCAACCTATCTACCATCTTCCTAGATTTTTTGCTAACTTCCAACCACTTTCCCCGAAGTTTTTTTTTCAAGAACCCTCCAACTTTTCTACAAAAACTGCCGTCGAGAGGAGGATAGAGAGGGGTATACAGCGCACTTGAAACAGGAAAAACAAGCCCTCCCTCCAGCCCAAATCGACCTCCCTTACTGGTAATCCTCATCGTCCCTCTGAATAACACCGAATAAAAGCCATGGATGTTTCCACTCAAATTACAGCCCAAATTCTGAGAGTGGGGTAGTAAATGGGGAGCGCCCAATTAGCTTACCTCTCTAACTACATCCGTGTCCACATTGTACACGTACAATTTCAGCGGCTTTCCTTCATTAGCCTGGAAATGAATAAATAATATGAAAGGCCATAAAAGTCTCAAAGTAGAAAGATCCAGAAGCTCGGGATAGCAGCTTACTTGAACAAGAGCAATCAGATCATCGGCTTGGTTCAACACACTTTCAGCTCCAAGTATATAATCAGAGTTTGACACCAAACCAGCAATTGAGGCCGGGGAGTTGGGCTAAATCAACACTTTTTCAAGAACGAATGCAGTGTGGATACGAATTCCAGGTTCGGTCTATTTGGAACCCGGACATTTGTGCAGTACCTTCCTTCTACTGTTGTGTCGAACAGGTCTTAATGAAATTGACCGGGTAAGTTACAAATGAGGAGTTCGAACCAGTTTTTCAGGTCCTAAAGTACGATGCATCTCGACAAACCAATGAAGCGTTTCCAGTAACAAACCTGGTCGGCACAACAGCAAGAAAAAGATTGCGGTTCCACTTCGCTGACACTTAGCTAACCCAATGTGCTACTTACAAGCCGTCAATTTCCATAACGCCTGCTGAGAATATCGATCAATCGTTTTTCCACTGATTCGGACAGACCTTACAAGGGAGGTCGTTCAGGCCGTGGTGAGCTTTTTCAAAACGATTTGTTGCATGTTGTAGGGGTCCATACAAGGACCACACAGATGGGTTTCATTTTTGCTAAACGCTATTGGGAATGTCAAAAAGGAATAAAAACAAATCGCTTAAAATACGCAAGTTTTATCATCTCATTCGCATCTGTTTTCAGCTGTAAGCCAGGGATAATAATAGTTTATAAAGTCGTCTGTTCAACTAGACATGAAAAAGAACATTGAATAAAATCGAAATTGAAGTGCTTTACTTTGCAAACAGTGCGGTACACTGCAGTTTCTTCAGGGGTTTATGCAGCATCCCTTCGCGCTCGCAGTGGCCATTTAGCGCCACGCTGGCCCCAGATCACGTCGGCGCCACAAATAATTGTCCAGAAATCGTGACAGCGGCCAATGGATTACCCTGTATTAGGAGGTTTCACGCGCCGAAAAAAATTTTTTCGAGTTTTTTTTTGGTGGTCATGGGCTTGACCATTTGGATGGCAGTGACAGGCGGACCCTCCATTGAGTATCCTCTCTGGCAGACGAACCGCCAGAAATTTTTCATTTTTTGCCCTCAGCTTCAGTAAGTCTTCTAGACACGTACTAGTTCGGGAGCACTAAAAGTGACATCTGGATCACTTTTACCGTCTATGCTTTCGACAAAGAACTCGTTACCACTTGCCCTGGAGAAAGGTTTTTGTTTCTCATATCAAAGGTATGAGAGGAGTGCAGTGTATGTGCGTCATTTTTTGTGTGTAGTTTTTAATTCTGCGTCTGCATACTAGCAAATGAAAAGCTTTCCCCTTAACGATGTGGGAACGATTCCTCTGGGGGGGGCGGGCTGGAGGGGGGGGCTGATAGCCACTAGCTGGAGACATGGCCGGCAACATAACACAAAAGCTCGGGAAAATTTTTCTCGGCGTAACTCTATACGTAGGGGTAATTGATGGTCCTGATCACGGTCGTTCGATACTATTTTTGCCGCAGCATCTAGCGGCATATGGCACGGACCCGCCGCGCAGACTGCCAGTGATGGTAGTGCGAGAAAGCCTTTGTACCAAATTAGCGACACATTTTGCCATATTCAAAAATGAGTGTCGTGTTTATGAACAGAGCATCGGATAACCGCCGTAACCCAAGTTTCATGAAGAGTTTTTCCGATAGTATTTCGCGAGCGTAATAATTGAGTGAGGCCTATTTGTGAACCGTTCCCGCATGGAATGTGTACTTCAATATGAGCGTATTTACGGGATCATACGTTATGGGGCATTACAGGGAATAAGAGGCAAGAAATGGTGAAAAATGCAAAAACTGTGTCCGGCAGGGGTCCGATCCATAAAACCCTCGACGAAGGAGCCCCGCCGCTATCACACACCATCTGACCACCGTCGGACTCGATAGATGCAGGAACATGTTTGAAGCAGAAAAGCGCATGACGGAAAAGTCCAGATGCGAGCTCACGCATGCAAGGCTAGACATTTGGATTTTTACCTTCATTTGCGCTGTTTTTCATGCCTGCTCAAAGGGATACCCTACATACTATAACCTGTCAACGCTACAGCTAGAACAGAGGCGAAAAGGTGGTTTTAAAAGCCCATTCTTTTCGAATTGTTTTCTTTTTTTGAATCCGGAACCGTTTAGCCAAAAATGAACCAATCGCATATGGTCTCGATGGACCCCTACAAACATGCCAACAACCGTTTTTTGAAAAAGGCTCACAGCCGGCGCTGAACCGACCCTGCCCTTGTCAGAACATGACAAGCGGCTATTTGGCTACCTTTGCAGTTAGCATGTAATCGCCCTTCGAGAGATAACTGGAACCTGTCCATTTTTCTATGCTCGCACTTACAATAAATCGCCGCCGTGCAAAGTCAGAGGACGGGCAGGAAATCAGCATGATTTGCTTATGGCGTTTCACAGGGACAGCTCAATCTCAGCTCTTTCAGGCATTGTTCAATTGCGACCCTGCGTTTCTTTAGAAAGAAACGCTTCGGCGGAAAGTTTTCGATACGTATCTATCGGCGGTTGCGCGAAACGGTTTTGACATGTATCGAACTGCTGTTCGGCGAAACAGTTGGGCCAAAAACGCTAGCCCGACTACCCTGGCGTTTTCCGCTAGGGCGGAGCCCGTGAAATCGATACGCACCTATTGCTTTTCACCCAACCGCTGAACCGCGACGGTTCGTCGAAGGGGCGGTTGGCGATTCTCCGATCAATCAGTATTTTTTTTGCTTTTCGATGAACCGCCGTTTCGTCAATCTCAGACTGAAAAATGCCCTACCGCAATGGAGGGCGGGTGGGCAGATAGCTGGATAGATTTTTCGCATTCATTTGCCTAGTTTTGGAAATACTGGTACAGTGGATGAGCTCGCATGAGAGAGCATGAACGCGCTGCCGCTTCATTTTAAAAAACTGAAGTATTTTGTGATTATTGACGGACACACTTAAAGGTACGTCCGCGCTCATTTGATGACCATGCCCTTTCATTGGACCTGGTACTCCTGCCTGCAAGCATGAACGACTTCTTCTCTTCTTCTCTCCTGCTTCTTTCGCACCCCAAGGTACGCGAGAAAACAGCCGCCTGCTCGCGATGGAACCACGGCCCTACCCACTGGCGACGCCCAACTTCCATATCTAATTGCTACCTGACAAAGAGTTGTTCCATTACTCACTCTCTCTGCAGTGGAAGGTGAGATGATAATGAAAAAGAGCTGATGCTAGCAAGTGAGACAATGACGGATCACGTCCTTTCTTCGCCTTGTGAGTGCACAACCACGGTTCAGCACAGAGTTCTATATGGGGCATTTCGAGTGGGTTGTAGTTTTTTTCACTTTTGTGTTTTTGAACCGCGCAAACCACCACTTCTGAATATGCGGCGTGCCGTTCAATGTACTCGTCGTCAGAGTAAGTGCACTTTAAAGCACTCCAGGCGCGGCATACCGCAGAAACCAGCAGAATTCTTGTTGGCTAGTTGATTTGACAGGATGCAGCGAATCATTTTTGTGCGGATACCGCGCACGTTTCATCAACAATGAAACAAGTTACACAAACTAGCGGAGTACTTCTTTTAGCCGGCTTGATATACTTTAGCGGTTTTGCAGTAAATCAATCAGGTCCTGGCAGGTATGCCCGTGATAAAACTTCCTAAGCAGCATCGCAGCAACCTCTGATTAGAATTTGCCCGATGTTGAATGATGCGTTGCTATTGAAGGTACTATTAGGTCGTCCGGAAAGTTTTGAGAAAATTTCACACTTTTAGTTGAAGAAGTGTAGCAAGCGAATGCCCCAACAGAAAGGCATATATCAAGTGCTATGAGAAAGAGAAATGTTTGTAGATCAACATAATGCTGGTTTCCCCATGGGTGGCATGACTTACACATTACCTCAAAAATGTACGAACGCACACGACTCCCAACGCCTTCTACTTCATCTTCACCGTTCTGGCTTCTCTAACGGTCAAATCGGGAATGAGGAACCGTCACCGATGCTGGATAAAACACGCTTCAAAACTATCTGCAGCAGGAGATCAATCGGTCTCTTACGTGGAAGTTAAGCTTGGATATTGCGTACGCCCCCGCATGTTCGGTACTCACTTCATTCTAACTCCCACGCAAAGTAATCCCGCCCAAAAGGTAAGGGAAATGGGATGGACAATGTTTATTATAAGTATGAACCCCTATCTCTCATTGTTGTCGATAGGTGTTAAATGAGCTGGTTGAAATTTCTCAAAACTTTCCGGACACCCTAATAATTAATGACTGTTCCCATGCAAGCCAAACCGGAGTGATGACGCAACCTTACGAAAACGAATTCGGGCACAGTTCAGCTTGGCAGGAGCATTTCGCTAGTTCCCATCAATCACTACCGGTTCTTCTTGTGAGCTCCTGCTATGTAACAGCAGGAGCTTCGTTTACGCTAGACAAGAGTCTACAAATCCTACTAAGATAAGAATTCGATTCAAGAGGAACTAGCAAAACAATCAGCGAAAGCGCAAAATGCACCCCCCCCCCTCCACCCTTCCAAGCCGAACAGCGCTCAAATTCAGTCACTTAATAACCAGTGAGAACCAACCTGAACAGAAACCACATGCCAAACATGTTGGCTAGCGCCATCGAATGAACAGAAACGGATTGAAACACCAAGCAAACCCTGGCCACCCCACATTTCCGAAGGTACAACGGTAGTTTGCCTCACGGTCTGCGTCTTGCTGAAATACTTCGGATGTTTATCACTTCAGTATGAAGTTTGGAATTTTTGGCGTTGATCAGTTTCTTCCAGGGATGCGCCATGGATTACCCTTCCACTAAGAAACGTCATCGTTATCAGATGCGATCTGGCCCACACAGTAATCTGTACATCTGCTGACTTTCCCCAGCGATCATTGCACAGGCCTATCACATCCAGTATGCCAACCATTCTGAATAGAAACAGAATGCGTGGCGCAACCCGAAAGGAAACTAATGCCGTAAAACATTATTCTTTATGACTCAAGCATATTGCAGAAATCACATAAACAAACCTGTTGTAAACCGTTACTTCGATGGGCTTCTCTATATGCTGTTTGAGGATATCTTTCATGGTGTCATTATCCTTGTCCTAGAATGGAACCTAATTTATGGGCTGCCAGCCGTGACACATGCAACTCAGAAATCTTACCAATCTAATATTTCCAATAGAAACAATGAAGTCGAAGAACGGTTCCAAGCCTGCCGCCTGACCTGGTGAGTTTTCTTGAACCTGAAACACAGACCACTTGCAAATTACACTCATTTGAACTTTTCACAGCTTCTGCATTTTTTTCACTATTTCACTGAATTCCGCTTCGCAGCGTTCATCCCGACACACCCTTGCTGTACTTATTCCTCGATACATTTCCACACATTTATAATACCCAATATGATCAGGACTGCGGACCACTACAACATAAGGAAGGGGAGGCCGTTCTCTCGGAGCGTCTCTAGTTTGGGTGATAACTGTTTTATACAGACCCAGTGTGTTCTACCGCAGAAGCGCCACACAGCTGAAGCCTTTTTAGAATCACTACTATGATCCCAAGCAAAACACAGCATCAAGCTACTTTCAAAGGCAGGTCGCAATCGTAGTGGGGCTCAGATACTGGTAATAAGGTGGCACTTAGCTGGGTAGAGGAGAACAGGGAAGAATTCCCGAGTTTGCCCCTTATAGGACCCAATGCAGAGCAAAGCTTGTACGAGCACATGGTGCACAGATGGAAGATGCTTGGACGAGCTCTTCCGTACTGATACGAGAACGATTTCAACTCTTTTTCCCGCCCCTTGTCGATCCTGACCTCAAACATTCGAAAGACAGGTAGCCGAGAAGCGCCTGTAAACACATAATGCTGGGGGGGCGGGGGTGGGTGGCTATGGGCAATAAGGAAGCGGTGCCTGTCCTCTAGATGTTAGGGGAGTGGAGTAGAGAAAGAGACGAGAGAAGAAAGCATGGGAATAGGTCGTTAGAATGAGGAAAATTCCACACATCCCTTGACTGCAAAGATGCATTTGAATTCTGTTTTAGAAGCCATGGTAACAAAGTTTTTCTTTTGCAAACAGTAAATTGCTTTCTTGAAACTCTAGGCGAAGTGGATAATTCAACTTTGTTATCCCTCGTTACGAATGGATGGCTTTCTTTAGAGCCTGAAAGATTTAAAGCAATCTGTGGCTACTCGACCAATATGCATCCCACCCCTGCAGTAAGTCTGTATCAAATGCCAAATCACCCAGCTAATCGACTATGAGGTTATCTGCATTGATACGCGGAACCATCAACGGAAGGAGTTGTTTTGGTGGAGAGCGCATAATTGCTTATTTGTATTAGTTTATTTTGGCTTACGTGACAGGGCACATTCAATAAACACAACTACAACACAACTAAATAACTAAAACCAGATCATACAACTGAACACAACTTTATCTTCACCAAATCTCATATATAGCCGTAAGTTCTGATCTCTACAAGATCTCCCACATGTCTTTTAAAAGTACCGGTCGGATCGCGGCTGACGCCGAGCTCTCCTCCCTGGGCAGTGACACATAACTGAAACCAAACTTTTTTGATATGGACTTGGGAATGGCATGAAACCCGCTTTGCTAAGTTCAAATAAATTGTACTTTTATGGCTCCCCCAGCTCGTCAGACCATCGAACAGTTATAAGTGCTCTAGTTACTGCTATCGAGAGAAGTGATGGCATAAGGAAAGTTTGCACAGCTGATCGCTTGCAATCCTTGGCAAGTAAATAGTGGTAGGAGATTAATAATAATCCTTATCCCTTAATAGATACTAACTCTTTCCCTTATCAATTGATAAGATTGTCTGTCACCGTCATTAGTTTCCTATCACTAAAGCTCTATAATTTGGTAGTGTAAAGGCCCCAACACTTTGACTGAACAACAACGGCAACGCTCCTTATCAGCCCATATGAGCTGTTATCAGCTCCTCGTCGACGTCCTCATTTCTCACTTCCGCACGTCTATATCATTTTCCTGAAATAAAGCTAGCTGAGTTGTGGTCTCAAGTATAAGTATGGTGACCGTTCCCATTCTCTAACTCCCTTATCAAATCTTATCAGCTGCTAGCACTTTTTGTCACCCACCAATAATAATCGTATGCCATAGCCTACACCATACCTTGGAACTAACGTCCTACTCATGCTGTGACCCGCGCTATGGACTCGGTGCCCCTCCCCTTCTGACGCCTCTTATCAGATCTTATCAACTGATATCACTCCCTGCCACCCACCAATCACGTTCCTGTCCCATACCCTATATCGTACTATATCTCGGAACTAACGTCCTGCTATTGCTGTAACCCGCGCTATGGACTCGGTGCCCCTCCCCTTCTAACGCCTCTTATCGGATCTTATCAACTGATATCACTTCCTGTCACCCACCAATAGTGTTCCCGTCACACCGCCTACATCACTTCTTGAAATCAATGTCTCACTGCTACTGGGACCGGCGCTATGAATTTCGTGACACACAGACAGACGCACACACAAACATACACACACACACAGACAGACATACTTAGTGAATTATATAGAAGAGTAGGATGATATTTCAACTGTAACACATTGCTCTGCAAAAGGAAATTGAACCTTGTACAAACTCTGTTACCGAAAAACTTCGACCTAAGGTGAGTCTTTGCATATATAGATTCGAACCTTTCAGGCTCTAAAGAAAGTCATCAAGTCGAAACGTAGGACAACACAGTTGATTTATCAAGCTCGTGTGAAGCTAAAGCAAAGCACCATATAATCAACTCCATACCGAGCCGTACATGATGCCATTCGTAAATATTTGCTTAAAATAGAGCGAACATACCCGCAAAACATGGTAGCCTTCAGTTCCGCCGCCAGGAATAGGCACACTTTCGCTGTTACCCATGCTCTTATAGGTAGTTCAAATACCTGTAAGAATAAGAAATTAGCGAAAAATGTTGCAACAGCCGAGTCGGTACGTACGTCTCACAATTTTCGACGAAAACAAGCCAAAATACAACTGTTTCTACTGAAAATATTCCAAAAAGTATTTACGTTCTCGTAGCAGCGACGTGGAAGGAGGCGGTCAACACCGAATAAACTCCGCCCTGATACGCAGCCAAATCGACAGCATAGACAGCGCAGATACTCAGTCAATTCACGTTTTCGAACTTCCGATTTGTGAAGGCCTAATATCATTGTCTTTCGTTCTTTTTTATACCTTTGACATTTATCTGTTACGCTTGAGTTCGTTGAACGTATTTGGGAGATCCTTTTTTTGGATACCTCGGTTTGAAATCGTTCAGTGAATTCTCAAGACAACTAGGGTCTTGATTGGCGTGCAATTACTTATTTCCACTATTTTGTATTCGCTTTGTCAGGTCCCACTCCTGTTATTATCTTAGCCTTTTTCGAGCGCCATTTCTCGATCAAAAGGCTGGCTGAAAAAGTCATGAGGAAGGCGAGAAGCAAAAGAAGCGATTTTTTTTTCGTCCCAAACATCTCATGTTTTTATGTTTCTCTTTTTGTATACCTCGTCCTTGTACTCAAACTCTTTTGCAGTGTGTTAAATGATATTTATTTTTAGCAAAGATAGAGTTTATCATAGCAGTAGCATTCCTGAACCTTTGTGAGAGGGTGGTCTCCGACTTTTTCTTTCCAAAAACGAACTGTGACGTGTTTAACGGTAGAGCATGTCGCGCCGGATAGTCCACGAAAACAATGGACCTGCAAGAGCTCAGAATACCGTTTCGCGCATTTTTTGTGACCATGCTGGAAATCATGTGTCCAGACTCGTTTCCTTGTTATTTGAAGTTTGATAGCCGCGTTTAATAATATATTCAATATGGATTTGGCGCTGGACTCGTGAAATCACAAAGTCGATATAATGCTATTGTTCGTCCCTTTATTTATAATTCCATTCGAAGTTGTTAGTCGGTAATATTTCCATGTTCTTTGTCTACAATTCAATTTCGGTCGTATAAGGCCGAACGAGAGTTGTTATGCGTAGGCAAGGTGGGCCCGCCTTTCTATGAGGCGACCTGACGGCTGACTTGCGTTTCCAAAATCCCCGCCACGTTTGTCGAGAAAATGAAAGCTGAGGTCTTTGAGTTCGGTCTGAATCTAGGGGAGGGGGACACTGAAAATTCAGAGAAAATCCTATCCACAATTAAATCCCGCTCAAATAGTGTCTGTGGCTTACCCCAGCACGAAATTCGTAAACGCCTATCTCGGTAGCAGACTGCGTGCGGCTTTGAGGAACATGTTTTGCGGATGACAGTGAGGCAGTGAACCTAATAAGATCTGATAGGAGGCGTCAGAGTGGGAGGATTACCGAGTCCATAGCGCGGGTTACAGCAGCAGTTCGAAGATATGGTATAGGGTTTGAGACAGCACCACAATCGGCGGGTGACAGGAATTGATAGCAGCTGATGAGATTCCATAAGGGGGTTGGGAGGGTATTTCGAAGGGTATTCGCAGCGCGGGTTGACAGCGTAGCGTTATTTCCAGCGCGCCTGAAAAGGTAAAAATGTAATAGTTAACAGTATACTAGATGCGGATGGCAACACACCAAAAGAAGGAAGGAAGAACGAATTCCAAGCAGTAGATATCGTTTCGATGGTGGTAAGCTACTCGTAGGGTTTCCCGGGTGGTGCGCGAGAAGCCGTACTGGTTCCAACATATATTGTTTAATAAACCGGTTAAATACGAATAGTGATCCATTACATAATCGAGTCCATCCAATGACCGTTATGTAGCAACCACAGCTGTCCGGAGTTGAGATTTTGATCCCAAAGTGCTATCAAACTCCTTGGACGATCCCTCCAGATACGAAAAAAATATCAAATTTTGCCTTTCCAGGTTGTTTCAAGCGGCAGCGGAAATGCATCAAAAAGATTTAGTCCTAAATGACTAAATCTTTTTGATGCATTTCAGCGACGGGGGAGGGGGTGTTTTGGTCATTTAGCTGGTTCACTACTTCCGATTTACAAGTCCTACTCTGCTGAAATCTATTAGCTATTGTAACCTTACGAAATGGCACTCTGAATGGGTCGGCACGTCGATGGGAAGTATCAAAAGAGCAAATGCTCCCCTTTCCCCTCCCCGTCGCTGAACTGCCCCATCATTTTTATACAAGTGACGGTGTTAATTCATGAAGCTTTTAAATGCTTCACTTTTAATTACTCGGTTTCTGCATTCTTTCAATCTTTATTCACATCCTCACTTTGATTGATTCGCATTTGAATCCGTTCGGTAGAGAACAGTGCGGATTTTCGTATGTTCCCTAATGTGTCATTCGTGCTGCGAGTTCTCTTGCAGCCTTAGTTCGTGTTACGAAGTTGTAAAGTTCCTGAAATCAATTGTGATTGCAGGGTTATAATGGCCAAGCGCACAAAGAAGGTCGGTATTGTCGGAAAGTACGGCACCCGATATGGAGCGTCTCTGCGTAAAATGGTCAAGAAGATGGAGGTGACCCAGCACTCTCGGTATACCTGCGTATTTTGCGGAAAGGAGGCCATGAAGCGTAAAGCTGTCGGCATCTGGAACTGCTCGAAGTGCCACAAGACTGTTGCTGGTGGAGCGTGAGTTTCTCTTTTTTTGCATACAAAAGTATCTTTTTTTTGTGACTGGAAATAAATTAGGCTTTTATACGAGAACTTTTAGATACGTTTATGGAACTGTCACTGCCGCGACTGTACGATCAACCATCCGTCGTCTCCGCGATCTCAAGGAATAAATCTATTCATTCAAACTGACGGTCGCAGTTGTTATTGTTTTTTATGAAATAAAAAAGTTCAGCAAGCTATTCGAGTGCCACACTGATGTTATGTCATTTGATACTGTTAAATAAAATGTGCTGCTTTGTATGTGGGGCAAATATGCAATAAGATTCGGGGAAAATAAGCAAGAAGGTGGATCCTGGAAATATTGATAGGCTTCGAGCGAAGTATTCTTGGAGACAAGCGATCACATAAGCCATCCAAACTGATTGCCAGTGGAGACGATAATCGGCCTTGGCTAAACAATGAGGCAATGTTCCGGTAGCTGGTGGATCACATCTACTTCGTTACTTGTGCGGACGGCGGCGCTCCACCACTAATGGTTGGACCACAGCAACTACTATTTTAGGCACAAATGTTTATGTTTCACAAGAGGTCATATCTACACGGGCTTATTGTTGTTCCCCGCGGATGACGGGGCATACCAGCCAGCATTGGGTTGGCACGCTATCAGGCAGTTTTCTACAAGTTGTTGAAGCAAGCAAGCGAAAACTGCATCATATAGTTCGTATCAGTCGTTTTCTACCACTGCCATAGAAAGCCAATAAATATTCGGCAGAGTGGATAGTCCGAGCCATCCCAGGCTAAGGGCTGAATAGGTTGAAGAAATGAGAGTTTCGAAAAGATGACTAAGCAGTGATATTGAGAGGAAATCATCAAAATGCTATTTTGAGGCGCTGGCTCAGTTTCGAATATATCACAGGCCTGAAGGATTGCTGTATTGCAGAGCAACAATCCTTCAGGCTTGGGATATATTGAGTCTTGACTAATTCTAGATTTGGTCTTGGTAGCAATTTGACCTTTTTGTTGTTAACTGGAACTTGTAGGTCAAAATTGGGCCAGTGCGGGGTTATGAAGAGCTTTGCCATGGCAACTATTTAACTCAAGCATGGTCTGAAGAATCCAACCACAAAGTTGTATCTATGCCTTGAGGGTCCTTTACTCGCGCAGGTTGCGCGTGATGATTGAATTGTCCATTTGGTTCTTTACTGGGAAAGAAAAATCATAGTTGCGCATAAAATGCAGCCTAACTCACAAGCTCTATGTTTATTGAAATATGGCTTCACTAGTTTCATTTCTAAACTAAATGGGTGCAGTTCGGCTGGAGGGGGGGGGGGGGTGCGGGCACATGGCATTTTCGCTGTTTCCGATTGTCGGGTTTATTGTTTTATAAGAGTTTACAGTGATCTTATACAAACTTTGTTTGATATCACCTAATGGTTTCACGAGATTTCACGTCTCTGCTTCATGCTCGCATGACGATGGGAAGCAGCCAAACTGCGGAATGTCCCTTTAGCCAAGCTGCGCTTTAACACGTTTGAAAATTTTGAAATCTTTCGAGTCTTTTGGGTTTTTCAGTAAGTCTGTGCAGCTCTATTCAGTCGTTAAGCTAGTCTTCAGGTCTCCATGATAATTCTAGAAGCAACAATACTCAAACTTTTTTTGTTATATTCTATAGCAAATTCAGATGGATCTGCTGAAAGGATACGCTCAAAGTGATGAAGAAATATCGGATGACGATAATTCAGCACAGTCATTTTCCGTGCAAAACTGTAAATCGCTAGCTATCCCGAGTGAACTACCCGTGAGTACAGATTTCTTTTCTAAACCAATTCTCATCCGCATCTCTGTTTCTAGATAAATTGTATCCCGCTAATCAATTATTGTTGCTATTAGGTTGCTCCTGAAGTGGTTACGAAAAGCATTCTGCAACAAATAGCGATTGTGGATCCAAGGACAAAAGAACTGAAAACGAATCCGAGATATGAACAGCTTTTTCAGCCGGAGGTATGTTATGTACACATTTTCCCCACAGTCAGAACATTGCGTTTTTGCCTTCTTCTTTGCTGAGGATTTTTCTTGCAGGCCGGACCGAGTAATCCATTCAAAAGCGAAAATCAGAGAGCTCAGAAGAATGTCCTCACCGGGTGAGAATGATTTAGCATTTTTCATTTACTAGTATTCCAGTGGTGAGCAAATGTTTTCTCTTTAGTCCAGCCTGAGGTGTTGAAGATCCTTCTAGTCTTTCTCCCACGTCTTTTCTAAAACGTTCGACGTGAACAAAACATCAAACTTTTGATTAATCAGACATAGAACATTAAACTGACAAGGGAGGTCGTTCAGGTCGTGGTGAGCTTTTAAAAAACGGTTTGTTGCATGATGTAGGGGTCCATGCAAGGACCACACAGATGGGGTTCATTTTTGCTAAACGGTATTGGGAATGCCAAAAAAGGGTCGAAAAAATTTGAAAAGAATGGGCGATTTGAACCACCTTATTCAGCTCCGTTCTAGCTGTATCGTTGAGTGTATAGTTTATGAGGTGAACTTTGAGTAGACATGAAAAACAACGCAGAAGAAGGTCAAAATCCAAGTACTTTACCTGGCATGTGGTGAGCTACATTGAAGTTTTATCGTCTTCCCCGCATCTCACCCGTCGCAGTGGACGGATGGTGTAGTGGATAGTGCGACGGACTCTCAATCTACGGTGCCAGGTAAAGTACTTGGATTTTGACCTTCTTCTGCGTTGTTTTTCATGTCTACTCAAAGTTCACCTCATAAACTATACACTCTCAACGATACAGCTAGAACGGAGCTGAATAAGGTGGTTTAAATAGCCCATTCTTTTAGTATTATTTTCGACCTTTTTTGGAATTTCCAATACGTTTAGAAAAAAATGAACCCATCTGTGTGGTCTCTGCATGGACCCCTACATCATGCAACAAACCGTTTTTGAAAAGCTCACCACGACCTGAACGACCTCCCTTGTGAGACCACGTGGAATATAGTGCGGCCTCAGGATACCTCCCAGTCGTTGATCTTTCCTCCTCCTTTTTTTCTCCCTCCCTGCTGCTTCCTTCCCTCATCTCCCCTTCTTATTTTCTCACTTCAAAGGTTCGGCCAAAAGACGAGGAAATACCTCTGGCTATGCATGACCACCTTATAACGTTCTCAGTGGACTTTCTCGATTGACTCGATCTTGAGTTTTGATCCCTTGGACAGTGTCACTTCGCATCACAATTGCTTAATTTGGAAAGGTTTGCAGTTTTAAGTCGGCCGGCGAAGAAGTTCTCTAAGTCAGGGCAAGCCCCGCCGTTGGGGAAGTATTTTCATAGCACGACACCCCCCTCCCCCTCAAAATTTCCTTCTGATACGACCCTTTTCGCCCTTCCTCTACCTTCCTATCACCCCAGCTTTGCCTTTCGAAAATTCTTGACTCCGCAATTGACTACCATCGAGGGGTAAGGAGGGGGGATGGAGAAATTAAGCTAGTGAAAGGGGAAAACCAGCAAGTACGACACCTCCTTCCCCACCGACCGAATGCGTCCCCGACGCTGGGGATATCCAGCGTACGACGTGCCCTGTTCATGGTTCTGCGCGTTGCCGCTACGTGGATCTCCTGAAGGCCTTTCAGTTGAGTGCAATTTTGTAAGGTCGCCTCCTTGGCAATGTGAATAGGCGCACTGCTTGTCCATATTCGTAGATTTGTAGGCAAAGGCGAATAACTTTCATTGTTTCTTAATTTCGAGGTCGATTCCCGAACTTCCGCTAGATATTTTATTAAAATTCTGGGCTGTCTGTCGATGTACAACAGATGAAGCTGTTAGGAACCCAGCAAGGCAATAAGCATGTAGCAGATTTATTTCTTTCAGATTCGTAGAGCCGGCTCATTTCAACGATTTTCATTTCACTCGGGAACTGCGTAGTTTTGACACACTTGGCTACGCTCGAAACCCTACCGCCGAATTGAGTTAGTGCTGCAGATTTTTCACACGTTTTTTTTTTAATTTTTGATGTGTTTTGTTTAGTGTCGCGCGTATTTTTACCCAAGTTCAGGTAATGAATATATTGGAAACAAGGAGGCTGCTATTGAAAATCAAGGTGCATCATTATTTGAATCGACGAAAACTGGTGGAGAAAAGCGGAAGCGACAGGCTAACTTTGATCCATCCGATGTTGAAGGATACACAGGTTTTACATTTGTGTTTTCGAGCGAATTCTTCATTTTGAGGTAAACAATAAATATTAAAGGACCGTGGGCCAAATACTGCGATGAGAAAACGATAGCTAAACCAGACCCTGAACTGCAAAAGGAAATGGATGAGATAACCAGGAAGGTTGGTCTTTTAGTTACGGACTTTTTTGGTCTCCGTGGAATGACTTTATTCAAGCGACAAGCTAACAGCCGACGATTCAAACGAAAGCAACAGCAGCAACAGGGTGACAACGCTGAAGAGTCTTCTGTCTTGCATTGTAAGTTACTGTTGTTTTTAACTGAATACGGTATGCGAAATATAATTTGTTTTAGTGAAAGAAGCTCAAGACTATCAGGGTCGTTCATTCCTGGTGCCACCTGCATTTACTGGTGTCAACTTGCGAGCAGATGCCGCCCCAGAAAAGTAAGTATCCGATTTTGGTGCTAATCTAGTAAGGGTCCGCTGTCAAAACTTTATGAGTTATGACATACCACGGCTTTTCCTGACGTCTTATTAAACGTTACTGACGAGGAAATCACGTCTTATGGCACATACATCATTGTTACATGCGATCGGATCGCTCGAGCATTTGACGCAGCACAAATGAATTTGCCATTGCGGCGGTCCATGGATTAGAGGTAGAGCCTTGGTCGTGGTCGCGCGATCCGTTCGCGAAGTATGAACGCAAAGTTAGACGGTATTTAGCAGTGAGAGTATGGGAAGAGGGATCTCCTGGTGTTCCTTTATGTGGCAATGGTACTTCGCACCTCTTGGAAGGTACTTTGCCCACCCTGGAGTCGTTCTTCATTTCCAGCATTATGAAAGTGGCATTTCCTGACGTAATATATTGCAGTGCTAACAGTTGTGAAAAAAAAAACTAGGAGAAAGTAAAAAAAAACGCCTTTCGAATGACTCTAATGTATTC